AAGTATGCCTTTCACTAATTTACAATTTTCGATCGTAATAAGTACATGACTAATTAATGTCATGAACTCACTAACAATTGAAAATTGTAAATAAGTGAAAAAACAAGTATTACGAGCGGATGTGATAAGCTAAACATTAACATTGATGTATAATATATAAGAAACTAATTGAAGAAACTAAATTTATTTCAAAATGATTTCTTTAATGTTGCGATTCGTAAACTGTTTACATCTCTTTTTGATTAAAACTTAATTTTATTGTTTTTATCACTTATTATAAAATAATTCATGTTGAATAAATTTTTTCACAATTAACTCAAGTCTCTATTTGACAATTTACTCAATTTTCCTTCTCCATATAGTTTCTTGAAAATGAAAATTTCAGAGTAGAAGCGAAGAAATTATAAACTATTTAATTAGTTTGTATTGAAGTTTTGCGATTAACGATGTCTAAAAAACACACAAGCTACTCATTGACTCAATTTTTTTTTTTTTTTTTTTTTTTTTTTTTTTTTTTTTTGTAAAAGACTTGTGGAATTTAAAGGTAATTTTTGAAAATTAAGTATAAAGAAACAAAAATACAGATAAAAGTATCACATTTTAGTATCAAATGTTTACATACTTGCCAAAGAGTATTTTTAACATATATAATCAGTAAAGTATTTCAACCACAATCTTTGTTAAAAATATGAATTTGGAAATGGATTTACAAACATTGGAATAGTGTACGTGAATTCAGATTTTGATTAAAAAAATCCACATAGCGGTCAAAATTGAATAATTTTCGTTGCTTCAATATAAAGTAAAATTCCTTTATAACTGACACGTGATCATGTATGTCCAGTCGACAAGTAAATGCCTTTTATCTCATGTTTCCGACTTTAACACATTCCTCTCACAGTGAATTTATAAAAAAAAAAATTAAGACAATCTATAAAACGTCTAAGGAAAAATGCGTCATCATCTTGTTCTTATTTTTGACATTATTATACAATTCTTTTATATCCTTCGTATTATCATAATTTATTCACTTATGTAAGAACATGTTCATTTCTCATTAAACGATATAAACAAACCATCTAACTCAAAACAAAAGACTAGATTATTTTATCTTACCAAATCAAAGTGTCATTAATAACTTGTCTGAAATATGTGCTTGATTTTTTCATTTCGTTACATGAGGTGTTGGAATAATACTATTAAAACAATCTGCTGAAGTAATAAGAATGCATTTCGTTCCAATTGACATATTTTAAAGTATTAATTTTTGTATTCGTAAATAATTTTTACTGACAGAACATATAAGTCAGAAACGTACATTTGTTACCCAAATATTATGTGAAACTAAGAAAGACGAAATTTGCTTATTTAAATGACTCTGTATATCATCTTCATGAAATTACATTGAACATAGAAGAAAATTGGAATTTTTTAAAAGAATAAGAAATTTAATTTTTATATCAGCTTACGGTTCCTGCATGATTAATATCTGAGAATCTGGAATATTTCGTAATGAATTTCAATGCATTGTGATAAGAAAAAAATGTTAACACATGGAAATTTTTTGACGAAAACTATTCTCATGTGATCGACAATGCAAAAAATGCGCTTATCATTACAAATTTTTATTGAAAATTAGAAACATAAATATTGGCATAAGGAAAAGAAAGCAATACAAGATTTGCAATAATATGTCGTATTCTAGAATTCATATGCTTTAAAGAACTTGTTGCATGTTTCTCAAATACTTTAAATTAAAAGCGTATTATGTTCCCAATGTTCACAATTTATAAATTTGATGTTTTTACTGTGGATATACCGTGGTAATTATAAATTTATTGATTCAAATAAAAACTCCTGAATTTAAAATCCAAATTAATTAAAAAGCGATCACGTAACCGTGTGACGCCATAGGCGACAGTGGCTGGTCAGCTGTTCACGTTCATAAAATGTATGCGATACGAACTTGTTTTCTCCGTTATAGACGACAAAATCACTGCTTTTGTCGATATGAGGTTGGATATCCAACCTGATATGTTTGAACTGTCAGCAAAAAAAAAAAAAAAAAAAAAAAAAAAAAAAAAAAAAAATTATGCAAAATCTGTTAACATGGTAAATTAACCCGTTAACAGCGACGAAAAAGAAACTAAGAACTTGCTCTCACAATACAATTAGATTTGTAATCTTGTCACACGTATAAACCTATTTTATGTTTATTTTATATTTTATGTTAAACTCTGATGTTTAGAGGTCCGTGTTTGCTCCGCTCCTATTTTGTATTGTTTAATGGACTTTTGAGCTTGAATACTGTTCGTTATCTCCATATATTTCATTCACAGGTTAAACATTTAGGAACTTTGATAATTTACTTTAATAATCTTTATCAAATTATAATGTAAATAAGCCATTGAATCATCGTTCAATTCAGAAGGGGACCGGGGGATAATTAGATGATAACTTGTAGTTTGAGGAGATGATGGAACAATAGCTTATTATCTTTTTTCTATAATCATAGCGACGACTAAAACGGACAAGATCCTCTATGAAATCAGTAACTTTGTTTTTGCAATACCTTTTCTGTTTTTATTTTCTTTCTAACATGGCTACACCCACACCAAATTCCGGTAATAATACATAATGTATATTGTTTACATTATGTTTATACCTTTAAATAAGTACTAATTCATATTTCTATAGTAAGTATTTGAAAAGTCTGTAAGGAAGTGTTTTTTCAGCATTTTTCGTTATTATGCGATATTTGTTGTTGATAACTCCGTTAAAATTACGCGAATTCTCATCTCTCTTTCATTTAATTGTCGCTTTAATATGACGCACCAGCAGTGAGGCGCCGAAATCCCATTGAATTATGCATTTCGCCGTATTTGAATTCCAACTCTAATCGCTTCAAATATTCTTACAACGTTTATCATATTTAGTATTTTGTGGTAGAAAATATTTTTCATAAAATTACGAAAATTTTAGGTCATACGACAAGTCCTTTAAGATTAAACTTAGCCCATATATACAGTTAAAGTATACAGTTAAAGCTGTCACTTGCATTTATAATTACATTAGTGAACTGTCACGGACAATTCTGAAAATGTTGCTTTTTGAAGAATTATAACAAGATCATGACACAGAATCTCATTCTCATTTTTCTAACTGCTAGCTTTTAACTTGCAATTTTAGATGCATTATGCAGTAAATTTTACATTTTCTTGCAATTTTAAACACATTGTTAAGAAATAAATTTTATATTCTGCAATACAAGAAAAAAGATATATGCATCATACAAAAATAAAACAATAAAAAAATGTCCCTTTTCTAATTTTTCGGGACATACGTCAATATGCAGTGATATACATGTATCAGAATTTTGCAAATTTATTTGTGTGTGTGTGTGTGTGTGCAAGTTTTTCTGCATTTATTTGACGAATTTATTCACTTTATGGCAAAAGAAATCAGGTCATCAGAATTATAATTATTATGGACCATTTAAAATGGATTTAGAAGGCAGCAAAGTCTTCGAAAATGTAGCAGATTAAAAAAAAATTAATAATACGCTTATATCATTACGATTTCTAAGTTATAAAGAGATATCATGTTTATCTTATTGAAATCATTAATAATTGTGTCAATGAAGGAAAAACTTACATTATAGGCATTATATATTGGTATATTACAAGGAATGTAAAAACAGATATTCGAGGAACGTATCGTCAGACCTTAACAATTCTGATGATAATAGTTGACGAAAGTCGAGACAATTTTATGTAATTTTTATGCAATTTTAATTTGATTGTTTTTTTTATTGTTCTTTTTTTTGTCATCGCTTTCGAAAAAATTAACGTTTAATTAAACAACACCAAATAAAATATATATATATATATATATATATATATATATATATATATATATATATATATATATATATATATATATATATATATATATATATATATAATGTCAAAATTTATTTTCGGAAACAAAGACAAAAGAAAAACTGAGGATATATAAATACTTACGGGTTTCATTTGAAATAACAAAACCTAAAATTAAATATGAGTTAAGAAATGAAAATTGCTATCTCTATCAAATGATCGTACATTTCACGAGTGCTCGAATGTTTTGAAAATGAAATTAAAGGAATAGACCTATCTGTAAGATTTTATTCTAAAAGTATACATCATATATTCTTAATGGTGACAAATTATTGCTTTAGAAAGGAAGAATAAATATTTCATATGAATTTTCTGATTTCAAACATTAAATATATTGTAAGAGTGGTAAAATAATTTATTGTATATTCTCTTACAAAATGGTTCTGTAATGTCTATGAAGAACTTAGTTCATAAATTCTTATTTAAATCATTTTGTCCTGCATTTAAACTGAGGGTAGAAAACATAAAAATATGATATATTTTTAGCTGCTATCTTTTAAATTTCTTTTTAAAAATTTTATTCTCTTTTTGCGAGGAAGGGTTTTTTTTTTACTTGGGGGGGGGGGGGGGGGGGGAGGGGGGTTGAACATACAAATCTGCAGTTATTAATTAATTACTCTAAGTCAAAATCATATTCATAATAAATAATTTTGACATTGTTTCCTAAAAAAGAAATATAATATATCATTCAAAGAAAAGGAGAAAATTATGACACAAGGATGATGCGTTTCTCATTCATGCATGTTTTAAATGGGCTTTTAATTGAACCGGCGACATGCCAATGACACAAAGACTTATCTGCAAAAGGTCATTAACATGCAATGCGTTCAACTGCAATGAATAGTGAAAGAGAACAGGGCTGTATATTTGTCAGCATATTTCTTATCTTTAAAATTCAAACGTTTCCTTTTATAGGGATTTCAAGGTTATTTGCATTCGACCAATAGAAGAAAAACATGAATAACATACATATATTATCTACATATGTAATAGATGAAACTCATGAGCTGGGTGCATTATTCATATCAAGTCCAAGCACCAAACATCGTTTTCCTATCCAGATCTTTGAAGGTTCTGTACATGATAGAACTTTGTGAAGCAAAAAAATGACTTCATCATTCCAAGCTAGCAAACAACTGTTAGCTATACGTGAGCAACTGAAACAAATAGACAAACAATACAAGGAAGGATTTAAATTTGAAAACTCAAAGGATTCTCTTGATCTGGAAAAGAAAAATGAGGTAATTTTTCTTTGCAAATTTAAATGAAATTTCTTTTAAATATTAAAATAAAATAAACTTTCATAGAGAAATGAAAAATCTGTTTGATAAATGTTTTTTTTATTTCCATGATAACTGGGGTTAAAATAATTTGAATTCATACTTAATAATGGATAACTTAATTGATGCTAACGCGTTGAGACGTGCCTGAAAATTTATGTTGCATTCTAAACTTGATTAAGTGAAAGAAAAAAGACACAAATTTGTCAATGGAACGGTAATCCATTTTTGTTTGATTCTCTAACTTACTTGTCATCTAAATTACATGCTCGACGGATTAATGTCTGTTATTTTTATTTTTTGGTTTTGTTTTGAATTGCAAATTTAAGTAAGTACACACGTGCTGACTTATAAATGTCTGTATTGAGAATTCTCTTAAAATATCTTTTTATATATTTTCAACTCTTCCTCTTATATCTTAAATGATCATTGAGCAAATTCACAATGTGCATAGAAGTCTAATATTATGTAAATTGCTTTTATGCTTTAAGAAATGTCCAATTTTGAATGATGCAATCAATTCATGTTAAACTGTTCGAAATTATTGCAATTTCAATTTTAAATCTGTAATGCTTTATTTAAAACTAGAGTGTTCCAAGGGACGCATGTGTCGGCTGCTTTGTAGCTTCACTAAACAATGTAAATCAATCTAAGAGTGGTCAGCTATTTATTTACAACTAGCATTATAGTTAATGAATTTGTCTGAAAAAAAAACTCAACACCCCCCCCCCCAAAAAAAAAACCCCCCCAACCCCAACCCCTCCAAAACACAAACACACACAAAAACATCCACAAATAGTATAAGACTGCATAAAAGTTCGCGTGATAACTGAATATCATGCAATTTGAAAGTGCAGTATCATAAGCTCATAAACATGCATAAATACTAATTATCAAAACCCTGCTTCTCAAAATTTAAAAAAAATAAGTATAGTTAAACTATCCATGGTATTTTTTGCAAAGTAAATCAAAGTTCAAATGTATTGTAACCAGTACGCATGTTAAATGTGAAAATTTGCTGTTGATCGGCACTATGAAATATTTTGAAAAGTAGGTCAAAGGTCAAGAAGTCGGTAACCATGGTTATTTACAAAGTACACAATGCCAAGCAAAATAAGTACAAACTATCAAATCAATACTCATACAGTTCTCAAGAAGTTAGGTGTGACAGACGGACAGACATTCTGACGTACAAACAGACAGACGCCGGGTAAAGTAATCCCTAAGTGTCGCTCTGATCTGCAGGCGGCACAACAAAACTTCTGTGTAGCATATTAAAGCTTTTTTTTTTTACTATTTCTATTTTATTACAGTGTATTTAAAATGATGATTTTAATAAAATATTATCAAAATTATAATATTATTTAAAAACGATATTTTATCGAAATGATGTTTCAATTAAAACTTCGAGATTATTAAGTTAATAAAATTCCTTGCAACAAAAAAGAAAATCAATCATTAACAATAAAGAATGTGTGACTGCATGTGTTGATACCGCCTAATTCAGAAAAATAATCTACTGGACACTTGTCTAAAATTAATCCTAAATACTTTATATCTTTATAAGCTCAACGTTTTCATCATCACATCAAAATATTTGCAAGCAGTATAGATCAACGATCATCATTCAGGACTCGATATACCATACAAATATAACAGATAAATTAAAACCAATCATTTACCTGGCTAATTCCTTTTTCTCCATACACTGAGACTAAACCATTTTCATATAAAATGATGAAAGAAGACATGTTGTTGTCAGTCTTAAATCTATTCTATTTTAACCAAGTCAGGTGTTAAAGTACAAAATAATGTGAAATGAATGAAGATGAGGTTTATGCAACTTAAAAGAGACATAAACAAGTTTTTCAACAACTTATATGTATTCTTTAACTGATTTGTGTTAGGTAAGAAAACGAAACTAAAAAAAAACCCAATCTATTTGTTAAAAACTTATGTATATGATAAATTTCCTTCAAGTTTATTGAGTAAATTGTGACACAATAAAATATTAGAATTCAAAATACATTTATAAATATAAATATAAATTTCTTGGCAAATTACTGCGATATTTATTTGGCTCAAATTGCATGTATTACGTATTTTTGTTTTACCCGTTGACAATTTTTTTTTCAAATCCAAGCATCCATTATTTTGTGAAAGGACCACATTGTCAATACTAGGGCAATGGACCACAGTCTTATTTGACTTTCTAGTAACTTATATATGGGAATAAAAAGTCTTATTGTATAAGTTGTTAAAAAGACACCTAAGCATTGTTTGATGAATTAAATTCAAATGAATTCAAATCCGGACAAAGATATTTCATTATGTGGCAGTTAAACTTTGCAAATGATTGAATACACTGTACGTGTATTCTACTTTAATTTGTTCTACATTTCATTAAAAAGTATTCTCTCTCTCTCTTTCTCTCTCTCTCTCTATATATAATATCTTAATTACATGTTTTGGATTTTTTTTGCAAGACAAGGACGCATGAAACAATCTCTAACGACATTTCCTTGGATCACAACCAAACAAATACCAGTATATTTGAAATACAGACAGAAGAACCCAATATATCTCAAGCGAACAATTTTGAGCACATTGAAGCCATGTTTTCAACGTTAATAGAAGATTCTCAAGACAATTACCAGCATCTTCATGATCTACCTCTGTCTGAAGAATTGCGTCACGCCATCACAAACATGGAAGATATTGATGATGTATGTAGTTAGCAAAATACGTTTATAGCCCAATATGTATACCACGATTTCTTCTTACGAGGAACATTTTTAACTGAATACTAGATAATAATAATAATAATAATAATGTTATAACAAATTTATTTTAAAGGGATCAGTAATTCCTGGCGATCCAATTTATTTGTCTTATTTCATTCTCTAATTTCAATATCTGAGATTTAACTGATAATTTATTTTCTTGGAGTATTTTCAAATCATTACCTAACACCTCAGTTTAGTAAGTCTAACATCTTTTGAATTCCAGGTAGATACGTTGATCGGGGATGTTATCAGTTCAGTTCAAATTGATCCAGTGAGTGATGAGGATCTTGATTCAATCGAGCATTTTGTGTCCTGCTCAGAGGTGAAAAACCTGAAAATTGCTTCAAAATTATCCAACTATATAGTTATACCTGTAGTAAAAATTAAATGATGGGTAATTTATGACTTATACTTTAGAGTCATCAGATTGAGGAAGGTAACCCTAGGAGTCTCGATAGGCAATCTAAAATTGACCTCTCGATCCCTAAACAATATGAGTCACAAGAAGAGAAAGCACTCTGGAGAAAAGAAAGGATTAAAAAGGACAATCATAATATTAGTAAGATTGTACAATAGATATATGCTCATTATATTAATTAGTACATTTGTGTCATTTATGAAATATAAAATACTAATAATCGTTGAGAAATTACAGCATTCTCTTACTTTGAAACGGAAAAGGAAAAATGTTAAATAAACAAAAAAGTAATCGAGACTTCAAAAATGGTGTGTAAAAATAATCTTTCTTTTTAAATCGTCTTTATTTTATGTAAGTTTTCTTGAGAGATTTAGTTGAAAGTTTTGATATATTTCTTTTTCAGTTGAGAGAAGACGGCGATATAATATCAACGACAGGATAAAAGAACTCGCCACTTTGCTGCCGTCGTCCACTCATCCGTAATAATATGTTTTATAGTTTTAAAAGCAATATTTATGTCGCTGATTGTACTTTAAAAGAATTTTTAAAAATATATCTTCCTCTATTTTTAAATGCTGAAATTGGTAATTTTGAAAAGACATCTTTTCTTGTATCTTTGACAACATGAAGTTGTTCATTTATTTAGAAAACACCGTAAAGTAGTTAATATGTATTAAAATAGCCATATTCTTTTATGTTCCTTTTATCAGGTCAATGAAACTCAATAAAGGTTCCATATTAAAAGCCTCTGTTGAGTATGTTAAGATGTTGAAGAAAGACAGAGAAAAACTGACACAATATGAAGCACACCAGAAAGCTATGGAGAAAAAATACCATAAAATGCTGATAAGAATTTTTGTAAGATTCCCTTTCATTACAATTTCAGAAATATATTACTTATAAAAATATCATTAAAAAAATTAGGTTGTAATTCTCTTTTATACCAAATAAAAAATTAGAGATTTTAACTGCACAAAGGATTGGTTGTAACAAAAATTGCAAAAATTCCTTTTTATCTGTTGAAATTATTTATTCATGAGAAATAAGATGCCGGATATGATTTTCTTTAGAAGTTGTTAGATGCCTAAAACGAATGTATATTGTTTAATCATATAATGTTCTGATTCCAGCAACTTGAACTGAAAATGAAGTTATATGGACTGACAGAACAACTAGACTGCATGCAAGTAAAGAAAAAGAAGAGACCAAGAAGAAGACTGAGTGAAATCGACGCGATGATTGAAGATTTAATGATGCCGAGAGTATCAACAAATATTAAAGCAAATCCTTTCACAGAAGATTCACTGTTCAACGAAGAGGCAAAACCAAAAGTATTTGGAAGTGACAAAAACACGAAGCATGCGACAACAAAATCTGGTCTGAAAGAACGTATCATGAAAAAGTTATGCAAGGAAACCATTGATCCATGCAAAGTAAAACTGTTTAATCTCAAAGAAAGGCAAGAGTTACATACTTCCTGTGGAGAGCAGGACAGGCGTGAAAAAGTCCAAAGTCTGGTCCAGTTACAAAATGACAGATCGCAAGCGGAAGCGTTCAAACAAGATGAAACTTCCGCTGAAGCCACAGAGGAAAAATACATATCAAAACTACAACCAGAAACGATTCAATTGGTTCAAAATCCTTTAATTTCTGAAAACTCTGACTTAAGTCTAGAAAAATGCAATCTTTTCCTAGATCTATTTGGAAATCAAGCCACTTCAAATATAACTGTGGTTCAAATTGACCCCAACATGGCCGTACCTTCCACTCCCGTTCAACAACTGGAACCAATGAAAGAGGACGTCTGTATTTCTCCTGTGACGTCAACAACTAACATGCTTGAAGCTTTACTTAGAAACTCTGATGAAGCATCATCTGTGTACTCTTCCTTGGAAAATTCACTTGAAACCTCAATATAAGAATTTTATAAACAATACCAAAAAAGACAAAACAATGCATTAAGTAAGTCTTCCTTAACCGCATTATATCTCATTTGTTTCATTGCATTGTTTCATATATGCTTCATATATATATATTAGGCACTTGTAAAATTTGCATTACAAACAGAATAAACAGATTCATTACAGGGGGTTTTAATTTATTTGGTTTGGGTAAAGAGGATTGAAAGTGAGTTTGAATCTGGAACTACATTATTATCATAAGACACAGCCAAATGTACATGCCATTTGCTTGACTGAATAACTTAATTTATAGCTTTTGACCTTAAATGAGGACTGGACTATCTAAATATTTTTTTCATAATATTATATATTATATTCATATTAAACAAATATTATACTTGCTTTTTAATTTTAATGATCCTCTAACAAAACCGATGTTACAGTAATTATATATATATATATATTTATATATATTATATATATATATATATATATATATATATATATATATATATATATATATATATATATATATATATATATATATAATAGTACAGTGTAGAAATCGTTTTTGGATCCCTACTAGCAATTTCCCCTTTTGTTATACCTCAAATCTGAAAGAGAAACACGTCCAAATTCCAGTAAATACAAATTCAGAACGTTCACCAGAATTAATATCCTCTGAAGTGTAATAAGCTTTTGAAAAAAATGATTTATTTGTACAAATATCTACTAACATAAAGAGACATTTGTGTTTATAAAGCTTCAACAAATATTTACTTTGACAACATTAGTTGGTATGTCCTTTTCAGGGCCACGGGCTTCACCAAAGCATAACAAGAGGCCCATGGACCACATCGCTCACCTGAGCACATTGGCAAGGCAGAAGCACAAATCAGTTCAGTATTGAAAAGATTACGGGGGGAGGGGGGGGGGGCTTGAATTTTAAACTACCTGATGATGCTTCCATGTCAATATAACAAATGGCTTTGTTGTACTTGAGATGATTTTTAAAAATTTTTCCCATATATTCCTTTGTAAAAATTTGATCCCCATTGTAGCTCCTCCCTATCCCAGGGGTCATCATTTGAACAAACTTGAATCTACACCACCTGAGGATGCTTCCATATCAATATGACTAAACATTGCTTTTCTGTTCTTGAGAAGAAATTTTTTTCTATTTGTTCTTATGTAAAACTTTCGATCCCCCTATTGGGCCCCACCCTACCCTCGGGGGACATCATTTGAACAAAATTGAATTTACACTACCTGAGGATGCTTCCATATCAAAATGACTAAACATGATTTTCAGTTCTTGAGAAGAAGATATTTTCCTATATGTTCCTATGTAAAATTTTTGATCCCCCATTATAGCCCATCCCTATCCCCTGGGGTCATCATTTTAACAAACTTGAATCTACACTACCTGAGCATGCTTCCATATCAAAATGTCTAATCATGGCTTTGCAGTTCTTCACCAGAAGATATCTTCCTATACATTTCTATTTCAGACTTTTATCCTCCTTTGTGGCCCCACCCTAACCCAGGGGGTCATGATTTGAACAAACTTGAATCTACACTACCTGAGGATACTTCCACATAAATATGATCAATCAGGGCTTTGCTGTTCCTGAGAAGAAGATTTTTAAAGATTTTTCCTATATATTTCTATGTAAAACTTTGATCCTCCATTGTGGCCCCGCCCTACCCCCGGGGGGTCATGATTTGAACAAACTTGAATTTACACTACCTGAGGATGCTTTCATATCAATATGACCAATTAGGGCTTTGCTGTTCTTGAGAAGAAGATTTTTAAAGATTTTTCCTATATATTTCTATGTAAAACTTTGATCCTCCATTGTGGCCCTGTCCTACCCCCAGGGGTCATGATTTGGACAAACTTGAATCTACACTACATGAGAATGCTTCCATATCAATATGACCAATTAGGGCTTTGCTGTTATTGAGAAGAAGATTTTAAAAGATTTTTCCTATATATTTCTATGTAAAACTTTGATCCTCCATTGTTGCCCTGCTCTACCCCCGGGGGGTCATGATTTGAACAAACTTGAATCTACACTACCAGAGGATGCTCCCATATAAATATGACTCATCATGGCTTTGCTGTTATTGAGAAGAAGATTTTTCCTATATATTTCTATGTAAAACTTTGATCCTCCATTGTGGCCCCGCCCTACCCCCGGGGGTCATGATTTGAACAAACTTGAATCTACACTACCTGAGGATGCTTTCATATAAATATGACTCATCATGGCTTCACTGTTCTTAAGAAGAAGATTTTTAAAGGTTTTTCCTATATATTTCTATGTAAAACTTTGATCCTCCATTGTGGCCCCGCCCTACCCCCGGGGGTCATGATTTGAACAAACTTGAATCTACACTACCTGAGGATACTTCCACATGAGTTTCATCTTCCCTGGCTTTGTGGTTCTTGAGAAGAAGATTTTTAAAAGATGCTATTAATTTTTCAATAATTCTTTATTATCTCCCCTTGAAAGAGGGCGTGGCCCTTCATTTGAACTAACTTGAATCCCCTTTACCCAAGGATACTTTGTTGCAAGTTTGGTTGAAATTGGCCCAGTGGTTCTTTAGAAGAAGTCGAAAATGTGAAAAGTTTACAGACGGACGGACAGACAGACAGCTAGACAGACAGACGGACTACAGACAAAATGTGATCAGAAAAGCTCACTTGAGCCTTCGGCTCAGGTGAGCTAAAAAAAAAATATGCCATTTTCACAAAAGCTTGTCTTACAGTGATCTTTTGAAATTGATGCTATGTCTGTACAAGGAGGGGTTAAGTTTACAATCTTAAATTACTTCAAAGCCCATGTTTGTAGAGTAAAAAATATAATAAACGCCGTTTCTTAGATTTTTATAATGAACAAAAAATAAGTTATGTACATGCTTTTGGTGTAAAAGTCTTGAAAATCAGTTAAAATATTATTCCAACAACAATGTATATTTTACTCAAGCATGTGCACATAATGTCACCTTGCAATTAAAACAATGTTTTGCAATACAAAAGTGTAACCGAAAACAAAAAGTAGTTTTGAATGGCAACTTGTCCACCTTGTTTAACTACTTTGGCCCCTTTTACTAATCAAGAGATTCTAGGCCTGAACGGTTACCTAAGTATGATATATTCTAGTAAAGGATCCAAAGAATGTAAATTGTGATTGTCATATATATAATAATGCAAAATAAATTGGTGGATGAAGATACACGTTGCTCACAAACAAGTGAGTAAGGGTGATCAAGGATCAATGAAATAGTTTTGGTAACCTGCAACAATGTCTGACAGTAGATTTACCTGTCTAGATCTGTATTTGCTAGTGCTACCGACACCCATTTGTCATAAGAACAATTTAGTGCTTTAGCATGAAACCCGTGTAGTCAGCGTAAACCCAGCGCAATCCTCTTCTTTCAACTCCTCTTGCTCTTTAACCAATATTTATTGTATTATATCAAGTAATTTTGCTTGAAATTTTTTTAAAAAATTTATTTATTACTTACAAGTCTACCTGGTCATTTAAAAAATAAAAAAAAACTTTCTGTATCATACGTGAACAATTTTTGTATAATTTTTTAATCAGTATACGTTCATTTGCATTATCTACAGTGATTAATTATCAATGCTGAATAATCAAAAGAGATAATTTCTCTGAATCTCTAAAAGTAGAGTTAAATTTCCCTAGATGTTCAATTATAGGGCCCTTTATCAAAAGAAGCCTTGTTCTAGTTGTCATAATTTTACAAATCTTGGTACATATATTTGTAAAAATAAAGTGCATCTCTATGGCACATGTTACTCCGTCAAATATTGTTCAATTATCATAAACATATCAGAGTGCAAGGAAAACATACATGTAAACCTTGGTACAAAGATAGATTAAATGGGTTTATTTTTTTCATCCTATGTTTGATGTGCCTCTCATATGTTATTGTAAATAATACATCATATATTTCTCATCTGGTTGTGTTCGAGTTTTACAAATGCCGATCTGCAGTTTTGTAAAATGTAGTTTTATGAATATTGAAAAATGCTAAAACCCAATAAAACATTAAAACACTAATCATTATTTTTATTCTTTGACTGTAAAACTGTCATTTTAGTTAGATATGAAACTTAGAAATTTGTTGTTGAGATATGAAAATTCAAATAAAAAATATCGTATTATACAATATAAAACTAATTTTAATACTTTTATACCAAATAAATAGATGTTCTACCAAAAATCGTCTTACACTAAACTTATAAATTATTCTCCAATTTTTCTTTTATAAAAATGCCCCTTGAAATACCATTGCTTGATTATTACACCCGTTGTTGTTATATATTGCTGTATACATTACCATAAAAATGTGTATATATTTTTTTTTTTTACAATTATTCAAAGTTACTGCAATATTCCTAAATCTGATGTAACTTTATCTTTCTTTTTTTTTTTTTAAAAAAAAATTCAACGTAATGGAAGATCACAGTGACCTTAAAGTAGGATGCCTCAATTCTACCTAAGATGCATTAATTGACAAATTTGATGATTCTAGATCTAATAGATTTCCATTTATTAAGCCGGACATGATTTTGCCTTATTTGGCCATATCATCTTATAATTAAAGGTAACAGCGACCTACGTTTAATGTGCGACAAACCTTCTACTAAAAATATATCAGCTGACAAAGTTTAATTCTTCATAGTATTTAAATTATGATCCAGACACGAAAAAGCTAACAGACAGATGGACGAACATGAAGGATGAATAAAAACACCGTCCATTGTACATTACAACTTAGTACTTGCCATCTATATGCTGAGGAATAGAAATGGAAGATTTTTAAAAAATTAATGCATTTTTACTATATGATCAATGTAGCCCCGTCCTAACAGCGGACCCTCCGATCCAGAGGCTATGAATTTCAAGATTTAGATAAAGGTACCCATTTTCAATATATCCCCCGCACACGAAATACAGGAATAAACTTTGTTCGTCTGTCTGTCTAACTGTCAGTCTGCCCGTACAATCTTCTCAGGGCTAAAACTTTCTAATGGAGAAACACTGGGAGCTCATACTTGCCAAAAGATTGTTCATGAACTGAGGGTGTGTCATGACCTTGACTCAAGGTCATTTAGGCAAGTTCAAGGTTACTGGCAGAAAAAAAGTAT